ATAATCTTTGAGTTAACAATGATAACCAAAGTATTTGTAGGCTTTAGACCACAATGTGCAATGTGCATGTCATGCAAGTAAGACATCTCTTTTGCAATTTGATGTCAATGTTAATAAAAATAAATAAAAATATTTGCATCAATTCCATTCTAATGTATAAATATTCTATTTTGTCTTTTATTACAAAAGATTCAACACTTTTGTTAGCACTAACTTTTATTGCAAAATAATATGTTATTAAATTGGAATGGCTTAAACTTGCTAGAATGCTCACTTTTTTTATGAACATTCTATTAAGTTCAACATCCATCTCTTTAGTTCCATACACCAGTCCCAACCACTTTGATTTATAAACCTCACCATAATTTTCTTCACTTATGCATTTTAAATCATCAATTTTTCTATTTTTTATACAAATAAAATCTTCCAATATTTATAGTAGATGGTTTGCTAATCTATAATATTCAAAATCTTATTTTTGATTTGCATGTATTAGCTTCTTTTGTAGAAATTTAATATCTTCTACTACTTCATCACATATTACAACATTAAAAATAGCAGATGTGATGTCTTCAAATTTGTTGGGATATTTCTTTAAAAGCATATTATTTGATATATTCTAACAATATTTTAAATCCAAAAGTAGTTTTCTAAAAGTTTCTTTGTTATTCAATTGGGAGATAGCTTCTTTATACCAATTTGGTTTTCTAGATTTTTCTACTAAAAACTGAGATTTTTTTTATTATATATATATATATTCTATATATATATATCATCCTATAAAAATCCAAATTCTAATTCAATAGGTAGTCAAAAACCTTTGTAATATGCTTGATAATCTTGCATAGATCTGTACACTAGTTTCTATTCATTAAGTATTTTTTCTTCAATAGAACCTTTAAGGCATAACTTTCTTTCAAAATATCTTCACCAATACCTTTTAAATTTGATATTGTGCCACTATCTCAAAAGTAAACATTAGATTGTTCTATATTGGTTAAAAATCTTTGCCTCCAAAATCATTGAAATCTTTATCAAATCATAATATATTTATATTAAGAAAAAAAATTACTTATATATCTAAATTTATAAGATATATTTTTAAAATAAAAGTTATATAAGGCTTAAGATCAGTAATTTTTAAATTTAAATTATAGATTGAAATTACGTTATTAAAATATATAAAGATAAAGTATTGGTTTTAAGATTAATTATGATTAATAGTTAAGTCTTAGAGTTATAGATTTAGTTTATAAGATAGAAAATTGTATAATTTGTGTAGAAATGTAGATAAATAATTATTTAATGAATATTCATAAAGTACAAAACAAATCTAATTTGCAATTTTCTAAGTGGTGAGAGAGAGAAATGGAAACATTTTTTTATTAGTTCTTTATGGATTTTTTTTGTAATCAATCAATAAATATATTATGATTTGATAAAGATTTCAATGATTTTGGAGGCAAAGATTTTTAACCAATATAGAACAATCTAATGTTTACTTTTGAGATAGTGGCACAATATCAAATTTAAAAGGTATTGGTGAAGATATTTTGAAAGAAAGTTATGCCTTAAAGGTTCTATTGAAGAAAAAATACTTAATGAATAGAAACTAGTGTACAGATCTATGCAAGATTATCAAGCATATTACAAAGGTTTTTGACTACCTATTGAATTAGAATTTGGATTTTTATAGGATGATATATATATATAGAATATATATATATATAATAAAAAAAATCTCAGTTTTTAGTAGAAAAATCTAGAAAACCAAATTGGTATAAAGAAGCTATCTCCCAATTGAATAACAAAGAAACTTTTAGAAAACTACTTTTGGATTTAAAATATTGTTAGAATATATCAAATAATATGCTTTTAAAGAAATATCCCAACAAATTTGAAGACATCACATCTGCTATTTTTAATGTTGTAATATGTGATGAAGTAGTAGAAGATATTAAATTTCTACAAAAGAAGCTAATACATGCAAATCAAAAATAAGATTTTGAATATTATAGATTAGCAAACCATCTACTATAAATATTGGAAGATTTTATTTGTATAAAAAATAGAAAAATTGATGATTTAAAATGCATAAGTGAAGAAAATTATGGTGAGGTTTATAAATCAAAGTGGTTGGGACTGGTGTATGGAACTAAAGAGATGGATGTTGAACTTAATAGAATGTTCATAAAAAAAGTGAGCATTCTAGCAAGTTTAAGCCATTCCAATTTAATAACATATTATTTTGCAATAAAAGTTAGTGCTAACAAAAGTGTTGAATCTTTTGTAATAAAAGACAAAATAGAATATTTATACATTAGAATGGAATTGATGCAAATATTTTTATTTATTTTTATTAACATTGACATCAAATTGCAAAAGAGATGTCTTACTTGCATGACATGCACATTGCACATTGTGGTCTAAAGCCTACAAATACTTTGGTTATCATTGTTAACTCAAAGATTATAAATAAGATTATTCAATATACCATTGTGAAAATGATTGAATTTGGCATGTTCAAAATTGAAGTAGGAAGTAATCCAGAAACCACATAGAATTATTATATTTATGATGGTCTTAAATATATGACTCTAGAGTTATTAAAAAATAGATTTCAAATAATAGCAATGTGTCCTTTTGAAGGTCATATTTAATCATTTGCAATGATATGTTCTAAGTTCCTTTTAAAACAAGATCCATTTTATGATGTTTGTGAGATAAAAGAGATATAAGAATAAATTTAAAACAATAAAAGACCAAACTTACCTTCAAATTGTGTTGGCTTAATTGAACTTATTTAAGAATGTTGAAGGTTGAATGCTATGCATTGGCCAAAGTTTACAAATATTTGTGACCAATTGAACTTACTAAAGAAAAAAAAAAAAAAAATAGTTGGAATTGATGTGGCAAATTCACCATATTTTAGAGCATCAAAAAACAATTTTTATTAAAATACATAATAGATTACAATTGATAAGACTTGTACCAATAACTATAGAACTATGTAATGAATTAATTGTATTGATTGTATTTTATACTTGTACACACTCTTTCATGCAACAATAATGTTTAGATGCCTAATTATGAACTCAAGTAATTAAGACTAGATTAAAATGTAGTATATCCATCATTCTATTTTTAAAATTTATGGATGAATTTTGAAACATAGATTGATTTACTAGAAGAATAAACATTTGATATAACTAAATATTAATTATAATTAAGAAAATAATGTAAAAATAAAGTAAAGGCACTATATCTTGTTAGAATAGATGGAATAGACAAGATCACAATATAAACACCACATTTGTTGATTGTAATAAAAAGGAGGTAATTGTTTACAACTTGCAATAAATGATACATATTAAAAGCCAAATAAAACCAAATTACAAGTTCTTATGGAAATATAATTGTTGTCAAACTATAAAGTGGTGAAAGAGACCAATTCAGCAAAGAAGTCAAAAGAAGTTCAAATAAAAAAATTGATAACTCCAAGAAAAAAATTGGACAACTCAACACACTACAACTAATATAAGTTCGTCACATAAACTACAAAACAAAACAAAACAAACTACCATGAAAAACACAAAACAAACAAACAAACAAACAAACAAACAAACAAACAATTTGTTTTAACAAAAACTTCGATTTGAAGCTTCTATCTCCAACCAATGACATAGTGCATGAATAACAATTGACATCCTAAACAACAAACAATCATAAATTTACTTGACCATCTGGACCACCACATAGCAGTTTCATACTTCACATACCAAATGCAATCCAATAGATAGGTAAGTTATGTCATTACGCCCATTCTTTTCTACCTCTTAACACCACCCTGTGACTGGGGTACTAACACGAAACGTTCAACCCCATATCAATCAATGCAACTGGTCCGTGTCGAAAAGAAAAGGAAAAAAAACGGGAAAAACTTCTCAATCTGGACAATCATCTATAAACATACTCCACTGTCTTACATGCAATAAAGAAAATGAAAAGGATCTCCATCCATTTAAATTAAGAGCCATGGCATATATTACTCAGCCATCACATTCATTCAACGTTGATGATAGGCGATGAATGATACAAGAATGGAACGGGCCCTACAACTACCCACCTTCCGATCCTTCAAAACCAACGTCTCGTCACAAGACCTACACATGTCAGTCTGTACAGTTTGGAACGAAGGACACTTGCTCTTTATACACGCCCGTTACAGCTAACTCCTGCCTCGACCCTTTCCTTCTTTTCACTCACTAACATTGCTCTGTACCCATTCACACCCTCTCTTCCATGTCTAACTGCCTGACCTGAAATCACACATTACCAGGGACAGACCAAGCCTGCCTCCCACCGACAGGCAACGAACGACGGCACTTCTCCCGCCGCTCCCACCTCTCAATCTCCAAAGCCGTTGCTTATAAATACATCCACCACCAACGTACATGCCGGTACGACCTGCAATGGCCCGACCCCAGCCCCTCCCCCAACCATCAACACAATCTGAATACAATCCTACACTATTACACTATTTACTGCTCTCAAATGCTTTCCGCCCACTCCACCCTTGGGTCCTTCCGTCTTCGGATTGCCCGCACCCCCCGCACCACACCACACCACAATCCCCACAATGGAACACGGGCAAACCAACGACTGGCTTCTGCTCCTCCACCACCAGACGCTACCATCCGCCATCCTTCCGCGCTTCACCCAAGCCGACATCGTTCAACATCTCCGTCGGACCTTCAACTGACCACGTTGTTGTTGCTGCTGTTGTTGTTGCTGTTGTTGTGTGCCATGTACGCAGCACTCCGCCTCTCTGCAAACAGTCGCAGCCCTCGTCAGGCAACCACGTCTGTATGTCCACACACAAAATCTCTGGAACACGACTGCTCACATAATCCCCGGCACTGACCAAATCACCGCTATAGCACATATCATCACAACACTCCCGTTCATTCGACCACCTACTCCAATACCAAACCTGCTATCCTACGCCACCGACACCAACAGACCACGACTGCGAACTGCCACACCATACTCACCCCCGGCGGCAACCAGCTTCTCCACACGCGCAACGATATGCTTGCCATAAGTATACTTCTTCAGAGCATGCAAGTGCACCCGAATACGACCCAGCAACAGTTCGCGCTGCGACTCATCGCACGTTTCCAACACCTTCTGGACCACGTAGTTTGCGAACTGGTCTTTCATCATTGCCTGCACAGCATCACCCAACATCAACGTCAGCTCCCTGTAAATCAGCCTACCTCTACACCCACTCAACCCTCCACCGCACCATATGCACCACCACACGACATCACAAACGCCTACTCACAAATGCTCCCTCCCGCAATGTCGACCTCCACCACGCTTCAAGTTCTGCGATAACATCCCCTCCCTATCTCAACCAGCACAACCCACCCACTAACCAAACTGTTACTACTCAACTCACACAGTACCTGCAGCGGCTCGTTCTCGTCCGTCAGACCAAGCATTTCATCGATCAGTATCTGTCGCTCCACTGGCCCGCCGTACTCCAAGCACTTCTCCACCACGTTCGATGCAAACTTGTGCTGACTCATTTGTACAATTTGCCCCGCAAGCTTTGTGATGATCTCGCTTCTCTCGTGATCTCGTCCATGCTCAAGCACATGCTGAACAACACACCATAAACAAGCCGCACACACACCCAAACCTCAGCAAACCTTTGCCCAGCACAAACCATGCCTGGAAAAACCCTTCCACACCACGCCCAACAACCGCCACTAAAACAGTAACCCCCACCAAGCAGGCATCGCAAACTCCATGTTACACCACAAACTCAAAGATCGATCCCCCACAAACTGCCAACACAATCGCCTCCATACCTGCACTCCCAGAAACCCAACTACAAACTTCGTCTAACCATACGCCTGCCCCACAATCACCGACTGCCAACACGCCCGACACACACACCCCCACCTGCACAACATAGTTGCCGTATTGGTCCTGAGCCAGAGTACAAGTGGAACGCAATATCTCCTCCATGATACCCTTCTGCTTCTGCTCGTCCGTGCAATGCTCTAGGACTCTCTGCATTCACCCAAATCCCCCACACCACACCTCGTAAGCTTCATTCGTGACCCAATACATAACACATCACATCCGCTGCTCACAAGACCAGGCAGCACCACATGCACACACAGCATCACCACCGTCACCACACCACTTCAGGTCGCGCCCATTTACCTGAATCACCCGGCATCCGTAAGGATGCGTAGACAGAGTCACCACCTGATTGTAAAACGCAGAGATGATGAAATGGATCTTAGCGGGCGGCACACACTCGATGCACTTCTGAATCACGTGATTCCCGTTCTGGTCCCGCACACACCGCATCACGTTCCCATCCAACTCCGACACCAACTGCGTCTGTTGATCCACGTCCACCACCTCCAGCGCCTGCACGCACGCCACAACCACCTCCCCGTTGCGCTCAATTATCCTATCCAAAATCTACAACCCGACCGGATCCAACGAAAACCACCGCCACGTGCTCCTACCGTTTCAGCTCTCTTCATCACAACAGCAAATCAACTCGGCCGTGATAATGCAGCCACAAGCCATACCTTCTGAATCACTCTGCAACCGTACATCTGCAGACTCAGCACCAGAACTTGTCCCTCCAACTTGCTTGCCAGCTCTCTCCTCTGCTGATGAGTGCCGTGCTCGAAAAACTGCCCCAACCACACGCCAACACCAACCTCCCACCCATCATCACCAACGAAATCAACAGCCGCTCACGATTAACCCATTAGCCTCCAACCCCCGAAACCACACGGACACCCTCCCACCACTTGCCGAATGTATTCAAACCTCCACCTTCCCACACCCCCGCATACCTTCTGTATCACATAGTTGCCGAAAACATCCGTCATTAGCACCAGAGCTCGTGGAAGCACCTCCTGAAAAACCATGTTCTTGTCCTCCAGGGTTGCCGTTTCCAACTTCTGCTGAATGAACCTACTCCCGTGCTGATCGGCGCTGCACTCAACCAGTCACACCTCTGTCATCACTCATACCAACGTGCATCAAACTCGCCTCTTCCATGCGCTTGCAAACACCCCATTCCTCACATCAAACGTCTCGTCTCAACCTCACGCCCCGCATACCGCCGCATCAATCCAACACCCTCCATCGAAAATCTTACCTGAACTCCACAACGTGCCCTGCGATGTCCGACAGCTCGAATCGCCTCGTCTTGCTGTTCTTGAACTCTTCCAGCAACGTTGACCCCCGACTCTCTTCAGTCGTCTCGCCCGTCTTCTGCCCCTGCCACCCTGCATATGTCGCCCCGCTCGCAGCTCCCATGTTGCCGGAACTCGTCCTCGACGCAGAAGACAGCCGCATGTTCCGCTCATCGCGCCGCATCGGAAAACTTCCCGCCCCCACCGGCGACCCCGGAAGCACCGGGCTCGTCAGAGGTGAATTGTTATATGGCATACCCACACCAGGAGGACTGCCATAGTACGCTGGGCTCATCGAACCGCTCTTCTGGCTCGCGATCGGGATCCCCATTGACCCTGCTCTCCCAAACTGCGACTTCTGCTCCGCGCTGTAACCGCCCAGCATTGCACTCAGCTGGTTCTTCTGAAGCTCCACCATATCCACGGGACCTCCCCCCATGTAATTTCTCAGTACCGAAGGATCCAGCGCCGCTGCACGGGCCTCCTCCGCGGCACGCATGTACTGCAAGTACATCGGATCGTGCATCTGGGGCGATGCTCCGCCCGCATACTTATACAGGTTCTGCATGTCCACCGCTGCTTGACCAGGCGAACCGGGGACGCCGCCTCTCACGCCCATGCTCGCAAGAGCAGCTGCAGTTGCAGGATCGAACACCGGGGGTGGGTATCCGGCCATCATAGGGGCCAGCATCGCCGGATTCACGGGATATCCACCCAACCCATGCTGTGGACCGTAAACGGCCGCAGAGTTCAAATTCGGGTAGTACGGATTCTGCTGTGCCATGTACATGGCGGCGGCTGCAGCAGCATACATATTCGCCGGATTATTGTTTGCCCCGACATTGGGCTGGAGCCCGGCCGCCCCAGCTTGTTGGCTTGCCGTTCCACCCACACCAAACTTCGGCTGACCTCGGTACCCAGAGTCCACACCCGGATACAGCTGCTGCTGGAAAGCCTGCGAATATGCCAAAGCCTGCAACTCATCACATCGTAAGTCTTGTGTGCGTCACCAACCAAAATTTCCTGAAGCCCCACACAGTGTCCACCACCTCTGCACACCCTACATGTTCCAATTATACTGCCCCTACCACAACTGTCACAGCTAAGACCAGAATCTGCGCAAGTCACCTGCGCTGCTTGAGCTTGTGCCTGCGACTGCGCCTGCGCAGCTATTTGAGCTCGCTGCTGCTGCCGTTGCGCCTGCTGCTGTTGCTGCAGCCGCGCCTGCTGTTGCTCCTGCTGTTGCTGCAGCTGCTGTTGTTGCTGTTTCTGTTGCTGCTTCTGTTGCTGTTGCTGCATTTCTCTTTCCTCTCGCGCTGCCGTCGATCCCTGTATATCCGACATACTCAACCCTTGGAAGGCTGCCTCGAAATCCGCCGTGCTTGCACTCGCCGACCTGTTCATCGGCATTGCCATCTGAGCGAAATCCGCAGCGCTTGAACTCGCGGCTCGCCCCAGACCCACGCTCCGCGCATCCGAACTAGAGAAAGATATATTTCCTCCAGAAAGTCCTGAAGCAACCACCCCATCTCAGTCACCTCCCAAACCGCCCCACAGCGTCCAACAAGCTCGACGCAACCTACCCGGTTGCGACTCACATCTCCCCATCACATCACACGCAAAGACGCCGACAAACGCACCCCCTAGAACGTGTTACTCCCTCACAACGCATCCGCCATTCGACACATTCTGTTCCATGCAAATCCATTCATAACCCGCGTACCTGATACCCCGCCCATCCTCGCCAAACTCGGACTGGCGGAACGGACACTGCTTGCGAGTAAAATCTCTGGCGTAGGTATTCTCGGTACAGGCGCTGCGGGCCCCGAAGATTGGTGCAGATTCGACACTCCAGGAACGGGAGTCGTACTACGCGACCCCATACCACTTGCTCCAGCATTCGATTCGCCCGCACCCGACTCCCGCAAATGGGCCAATTGCAGCTCCAACACCGGATTCGCACCCTCGCTCTCGTCGTTTGCGGCTCTGCTTGACGACCGAGACAAGTGATACACTGGCGACGGCGTTCGAGGAAAATCCTCCTGCCCAACATCACAATCCACATCTGTCGTTATTCCTCACACTCGGAGCTAATTCGCCCGAAAATAACCCACTAACCACCATCCTAACCCCTCACCACTGTCACCACAATCCCTCAACCATGCCTCCTGCGTTCGACACTCATGTACACACACACACACACACACCGGATCAGATACGCTCCAACTACAGCCTTAAATCCAAAGACACCGGTTCACCAATAACCATCCGCGGCGGCCTTGGAAGCATCGTCAGCTCTCACGTACCTGAATCAGATCTACTAGGCTCTTGGGACGGGGGCCAAGCCCAGACGACAAACCCATCAACCCATCACCCCTCTCTCTTTCTGCCCAGTCGCTAGACACCGTCCTCGCAAGGGCCTCCATCGGTGAATTGTCCTCCTCTGGAACCTCCGGCTCCTCTCTGTGTGTCGGCAATAACGGCTGGCTCGAGAACAAGGACCTGCTGCTGCTGTCGTCCATTGACCGCAACTTCTTCTTGTCCCCGAATCCCGCAGCTCCCATCCCAGATTGCAATCTCTGTGCCAACCGATAGTTATTCCACGATATCAACGGTGGCGGCAACCTCGGATTCAGATTGATGTTGCTGTAATAATATACCAGGTACTTGGGATCTGCGCGCTGCGCTTCTTCGGCATCCAAAACATCCTCCTCCCCTGATTGAACATTCGCACCACGCCCGCCTTTGTGGCTGGTGGGCATGTCGAGCAGCCCACCCATCGCTGCCAAAGACCCCTCCACGCTGGGAGGAGCACTGCCGCTTCTTTGCGGTACGTGTCCAGAGTTCAAAATGTTATCGAATCGGGTTCGCCCTTTCAGAAGACGACCCAACTCAGTAACTCCATCCAGATCCTGTGAGGTGCCATGACCACCTCCGCTCCCAGTCCGTAGGCCCTCCCCCAGAGTTCCCATATTCCCTCTAATCCCTCCAGACATCATCATAACAGGGCTCTCCGTCGCCATTTCAACGTGTGCTGACTCCCACCACTATGCGCCGCTCAGCATCATCTCAACCGTGCGCATTTTTCATTCTCCAGGACAAGGCTTGCTACGCTCTGGCTCACTCGCAAAGTGTCGCCACCATGTACCACGGGAACGTATTCCTCCTCCTAGTGTCAAAGTCCTTGTTAGACGTCACCTTCAGTACTCCAAATTTCCTTCACGCACGCAAGCCCGCCCATCCGAGCACCTCGATCTGCTGAAGAAAATATCAGGCTACAAGAGCTTACAGAGTTGATTTGAAAGAAAGGTGTATTTGAAATGCGAAACATTTATTGAAGGAATTCAATAGGACGAGCTATATAGATAAAAATGGAAGAACCACTTTATTTGGTATTTTATGGGTATTTTTATTTTGGCTTAAATTGGTTTAGGACCATATATCTATGATTGGTTTGGTGTGGGTGAATCATAACTTGTACACGTACAATGACAATTGTGGCAAATTGAAAGTGTCGACTCCTAAGATATTTTCCAGCCCAGATCCAAGACTTTGAGAGGTGCTGGAAAGGTGAGGCTATAATCGTCGACTATACTGCGCGTCGAATGTGTCAAGTTGTGAACGTTGATTTCCACTTGGAGAAAAGAAAGTATTGAATTGTCAGACTATGCTGGCTGAGGATTAAAGATGAGACAAGGAAATTCATAACAAGAATTAAAGTGGGTATAAATTCGGGACTCCGGATATGAAATATTAGACATAGGGTTTGTGCATCGATCTCTATATACTCTCACTGGCCGAAAGACTTGCAGCAGGATAATTTCGGCAAAGATAGATCTTCGACTCGTCACACTTAAACAGTTCATGTAAATCACCTCGTGTAAATTAATGCGCTCAAAGAACTTCATTCCTAAGTATCTTAAATTGTTACTTCTTGACTTTTTCATTTATTTGTACGTCACCATTTCGACTTCAAAGCAGAACAATAATACATCGAAACTAATGCCCGAATTCGGTGAACAGGCGGAAACCCAGGTTTCGAGCTCCCGCGAATCTCAGAACCAAAATCACTTGTCTAAACTCCTCTCGTCCATCCCCAAGGACTAATTCCTCCCATTCTAGCAAAATCGAATTTTAAACGACGAAGAAACTCCTTACGATTAGGGTTTAAAAAGTTCCCAATGTGCCGTAAAGAGAAAAGAAAAGAAAACACAGGAATAATGACAGTAGGCAAATGAATAAATTAGTTCCGTGAGACTTAGGGTGCGAGAATCCAAAACAAATTAAAGATCCAATTCTAAGCAGCTAACTTAATTCACACACCAACCTTGCAAACCGCGCTTTTCGACTGCTCCCTCCTCCCTCCTCAAACGCTTCCAACGACCAGAATTGCTCACAAAACGATCACTCCAGGCGAAGCTGCAGCTCCGAGATCATCCAGTAGTGGAAAACAACGAGGATACAAGGAAGGGAAGAACGGGATGAAAGGGTATCCAGAGTAGAGATGCGAGGTGAGCTAGCGAGAAAGTCTGTCGGTGATGGGTGCCTTGGCTGCGTCCGCCTGGGTCGCGCGTGGCAGGAGCGGCATGAAGAGCAGCTTGTTCTTAGCTATGGCAGATGCACAGCAATGCTACTCCTCCTCCTCCTTTTTCCTCCTCGAAGCCCATTCTCTCTCTCTCACCCTCTGTGTCTGTCTGTCTGTCTGTCTCTCGCTCTTGCCTTGTGCGAAAACACAATCCTGTCCCTGACCTTCTGTGTTGTTGGCCACACCAGTGCGCTCTACGCCCTGCGATGCGGCGTCGCACAGCTGTGTGGGTCTCTTCTCCCCCGCCGCACTTCGAAGGTTCCCAAATTAGGGGAACAACAACAACAACGCCTCGCGCAGCTGTGGCCCGTCTCGCGGCTCACAGCACGAGTCCAGCGCAGGCAGGCCATTTTTCTTTTATTCTGTGCCGTGCGATTTGCGCCTCCGCCGAGAGTGTCGGGTCCGATGACCCTATCAGCACCGCTTCGGTGACGCCGTGCGCGGTGGGCAACATATTGGCCGAGTCCCCGAGTAAATCAAAACCCACAGAATATTCTCTTCGTCCCGCACCACTGCAGGATCCGCGAAGACAGGGAGACAGGGAGGGAGACACTGCAATTCTTCATCCGATCGACTTGTAATGTAACTATCTCCCCCCGCACGACCCCCACGACCCCTATTGCGACCTTGCTCGCGCTCGATGCCGAAAGCCCCCTCGATTCTGCTCTCGCCGCCATTGACCCCTAATCACCTTCGCCACTCACCAATGCGGTTACTAATGCTGTCACTAATGCGGTTACTAATGAGGTTACTAATGACCCCTCGTGACCCGGCAATCCAAGTTAAGCACAGTGTGTCTTACATCAGGTGTGCTTGGTTTTAAGGTTTCCGATCTGATTTATCACCAAGATTTACTCAAATAACATTTGAAAAAACTATACATATATAAATATGTATACATGTATACATCTATATATCAAAAAAAATTATTGATAAATTATTGATCATTTTTTAAATTGTTAAATTGTTAAGAGGCTGTATTCTATTTCTTTTTTAATTTAAGTTTTTGTATTTATGTTCTTTAGTTTGTAAATGCGGCATGAAAATTGCTTCCTGTATCTGATATCTATGTAAATAAATTTGAAAGAAAAACCAAACAAACTTGATAGTTTTGTCTCAAAAAAAAAAAAAAAAAAAAAAAAAAAAGTATGTGTAACAAAAACTTGAAAGTGCGAAGTCAAATTCTTTGGCCTTGTAGTGAAGTTTTCTTTTCTTTTTCTTTATTTAAACAAAAATATATGGTTATTGTAATTATAACTGAAAATGTACATTCTGATATATGGTTAGAGAGTGATATGCACAACTTATATATAGTACTAAAGAAATTGAAGATATATATATATATACATATATATATATAGATATATATGTATTTATATTTATATATATATGTTAACTTAAATCATTCATCTCAATATATAAAAAAGCAGAGAGGAAACAAATCATCACAAAAGTAAATACTTGTCATCAAAATTTAATGTTGATTGAGATTATCTTACAGATGTTGCCAAAATACAAGTAATGAATATTTACACATTGTAAATTTTAAAAGTCTAAATATAAATATAACTTGTTACATTAACATGCTACAAATAATGTCATTGTAAGAGTGTGAATGATGTTCCAAATCCTAAAATCCGTTATTGATTGTACTTGTAATTGGAGAGGACAAATTACAAGGTCTTTGAAAAAGAACAGGCGTTTCCTCCTAGATTTGGCCAAATAGTTTTTTAAAACTAGGTAATCCAATGCATTATTTGAAGTCTTGATAAAAATATCAGAATGGTTTGTCATAAATTTTTGAAGTAATATAAAATCATTTTTTATACCAAAATTCGTACCATTAAACATTCATGCATTTTTTTATTTTGTATTATTATTATAAATATTATAATATGAAAAATACTTTGTCCATTTAACATTCTAACTACTAATATTTATTTAGTTTCACTCGAACCATAATTAATTGTATGATGATAAAATCATATGTATGTCAAAACTGTTCTGTTTTGTCAACAAATTCAATGGTATAAAATGGTTACGATGAACTTGGGTCACAGAGTCATAATTTGGTCGTACAGACCTTAGCTAATCAAACTTCATTTCAATAACTCCTTCCAAAATTGAAACGAGAAATTTAATTTTTGAGTGACAAGATGTAATTTGATGTGTTGATCTTGCAATTCAATTGAAATACCCATCAACATAAATTCTAAGAAATAACTATACTATGAAACACATTCTGCAAAATACAAAAAAAAGCAAAAATATAACAAAAAAACAAAAAACATGAACAGAACAAATGTTACCACCTAACTGAGTATTGCAATGAATATTTTGCTTCATCTTATTTGGACAACATTCACATTCGAAACTCTGATCCCACCCTCTCTTCTACGACCATCCTCTGTTAGTTAAGGTATCATCCCCAAGGATTAGGGTTTTCTTTAGTTAGTATTTAGACACACCTGCACAACCTTCTTTGTTGTGTTGTTAGATACTGTGCTTAGAATAGAATGTTGGTTAAGTTTAATTTACAATTGTATTTAGCAATTGCTTAGTTTAACATGGTATCAAAGTAGTGATTTTAAATCAATGATCAAACATTCCAGTCAGATGTATCAAAGTTCATTGAAGAGGGCAGTTCCTTGAATAGGATATACATATTTAGATCCAGAATAGAAATATCATGGAAAACCACATGCAGCAACAACATCAGAAACTTTGAACATGTCACAACAAGCAGTGTCAACCATAGATCAAACACCAATAGAAAGAGCCTAATATCCAAGTTTTACCACCTCAAAAGAGTCAACAATTATGCAATATGGATGTATTGCATGAAGCATATGATGCAAAGGGAAGGCTTGTTTGAGTACTGCACAATTCCACCATCCACAATAATATTGGAGAGCACAAGGACTAAGAGAGAAAGTGCATTGGTGGCAATCAATAACAATGCAAAAAACACAATCCTCAAGCTACTTAAGAGGTATGACAAATCTTACCAATGTTGGGCATAGTTGAAAATTTGCTATAAAGTTCATTATGGACTTAGAATTGTCATGATCATTGATAGATTCTTTGAGATAAGAAAGTCAAATAATGTGTCAATCGATGTATACTTAACCAAAGTAAAAGAAATTATAGATTTGCTTGAAGAATTAGATGTGGAACTCCAAGAAACCATTGTCATATACTACATGGTTTGTCATCTATAGAGCCAATATATCATATTCAAGCATATGACACTTGACAAAGACCAACTATCAAAATATAAAGAATTGGAATTCAAGCTTATTAGCTTGGAAATGTCTCTAGACCTAGATCGACTAGAGCAAATTAGCAAGAGCCTATTCACTCAAAATACCATGAACAACTTTGGCCAAACTTGCTAACCAAGTCACTATAGAAACAACAACAATCAATAAAGACTATACTATATATCATCAATATACCAACAAAGACTAAGTCGTACACACCAACTATGGCGTTTTAATAAAGAAAATATATATATATATATATATATATATATATAAAATTGCATCAATACTAAAATAATCACAAATTCAACAAAAATATACAGACATATAACTAAAGAGGAACATCTACTCATCAGCCTTAATTCTAACCATGTAGCCTAAAAAAACCAAGACATGACATCTTCTACTATTTTTGTAGAGAATCAAGTCACATAGAGTAGAAATATAATATCAAGTCCCATTGACAAAGCTAAAGATTGAGAGTACAAAATCTTAAAAAAAAAAAAAAAAAAAAAAAAAAAAAAAAAAATCACAACCTTAATAGTTATATAAACTAGCTTGAGTTGGATCTTCCAACAACACACAAAATATCCAATTAAATTAAAGCATACAATACACTTGATAATTGCAACAGTAACTTACAAGCACACTTCATCAAAATAAAAATCAATGCAGTCAAACTGGAATCAAGCAGAGTCACATGGTACCTTAACTTTGACGCCTCAAATTATATAAAAAGAGATAATCATCTATTTTTATACCTCAATCCATCTTAGAGGCATAGGATATAATTAGCTTGAGAAATTAGTCATGAGGTGACCGGTATTAAAAATATATTTAAAGAATTAAAAATCAATGAAATAAAAGCCATCCATGATGGTTTTTTTTTTTTTTTTTTTTTTTTAATATCATTAAAACCCTCATTTATGTAACGTATATAGCCAACAAATAACTTAATATCAAATTTGTAGTAGAAAGCTACTTTATTAGGCATCAACAGATTGAAGAACTTATTGCACATGCAATACGCAACAAATGAAATGGCTTATACCACTTAGATACACTAACACACTTTGGCAATTATAAGCAGCTATCAAACAAAAAGATCAAAGTTTTAGCATGCACCCACAAATTCAACTCATTTGCTATTTTATAACATATCCAACTTAGCCATTTTCACCTATAAAGAATATAATGTATGTGTAAATATAATGCAGTCTCAAGACTGTTTAACTTTCATGTATCAAATATACTATATACAACTTGCATTGGAAGAAAACAAACAAAGAAAAAGGTACCAAAAAACTCCCATCATATGTCTAAATCAATTTTTGAATTTACATATTTTGATTTATGAGATTCATTTAGGATAAAATCTCTTAGAAGAGCACATTACTATGTCATTTCAATTGATAATTTCTCTAAAAAAATATGGGCCTACTTCATAGAGCATAAAAGCTATATGCTATTAAGATTCAAAATCTATGAAGAAAAAATAAAAGCATTGACAAATAGACTAATCCAAGTTCTCAAAATCAATAACTATCATGGACATACTCAAGTAAGCTAGTAATTACATATACAAATAGGTGGAAGTAAGTAAAAATAGATAAAAGTAAATTAATTCTATAGTATTTAATATGAAAGCTTTCTAGAAGCTTTATAAATGCTGCTTTGACTTCATATGTGTCTTTTATTGACTTTTTGGATTAGAAACGTGGTCAACAAGTTGGCCATGTGCCACACATGTTGTTAGCTTGAAGATCAAGCTAACTATATGGCCCACACGTAGAAAAACTTGCCTTGTAAGTTAAGGCATGTGTCCTACAAAGTCAACACATATTGAAGGTCCTATAGAATGTCGCCACGTAGCCCCTAGTAAGATAGTATATATAGAGATAAGAGTGAAGTCTTCTTCACTCTTGTCAACTCCTTTCTTGCTTCCAATCTAGTTTCAAGGGTCTCTAGTTTCTTTGTCTTTTGGCAATAGCCATTCCAGTTTCTCTTTCAATATACATACTTGTTTATTTATATTTTGTTACCTTTCTTTAAGTGAAGGCAGACTTATCTGAA